CACATGGCAGCCAGAGTGATTCTTTTAAAATGTAAACCAGACCATGTTACTTTTAAGCTTAAAACCTGTCAGTAGCTTCTCATCACACTGAGAGTAAAATCCAAAGATCCCACCTTGATCAACAAGGCCTTTTGTGATCTGACTCTTGACTGAAGCTCTTCAGTTTCTTGCACTCTCCTCGCACATCCTGCTCCAACCATGCTGGTCGCCTTGTTATCTCTCCAACTAGAGGATAAGCCTCAGAAGGCAGGGATTTTGTTTGTTTTACTCACTGTTGTATTTTCAGTGCCTAGAATAGTGCTTGACAGAGAGTAGGCGTCAATTGATAGTTCTCAACCAAATAAATGAATTTTTAAAATACTGAACCCAAAAGAAAGCAGAGAAAAAGGAAAAATGGTGCAAGAAATAGATGGAGCAAGCATAAATAAATAATGAAACGATAGCTATAATTCAACCATTTAACAAGAAATGGACTGGACAAATGACAATAAATAGTGAGACGGTAGATATAACTCAACCATTTCTATAATTACATTAAACCACAACGGCTTAACACTCCAATTAAAAGGCAGAAATTGTCAGATGGAAAAAAAGAAAGCAAGAATCACTATATGCTGCCTGCAAGAAATGCAGTTTAACTATAAACACAATTAGGTTAAAAGTAAAAGTGTGGAAAAAGACAAATAATGCTGACACTAATCATAAGAAAGCTTCAGTGACTATATTAATATCAGACAAAGCAGTTTTCAGAGCAAAAGATATTAGTAGTGATAAAGAAGGTCATTTCATAATGATAACGGGGTCAATTCATTATAGAACACAGCCATCGTAAGTGTTAATGCATTGAATAACAGAACTTCAAAATAGAGGCAGCAAAATCTGACAGAACTGCAAGGATAAATAGACAAATCTCAGTAAGTGTCCATAAACAGACTCAGACATATATGGTCAATGAATTTTTGACGAAGTTGCAAAGGCAATTCAGTGGAAAAAGGATAGTCTTGCCAACTAACTTGACTGGAACAATTGGATAACCAGATGTGCGGAAATGAGCATCAGTTCACGTCTTGCACCGTACACAAAAATTAACTCTAAATGGATCATAGACTGGAACATAAAACCATGAAACTTCTAGAAGAAAACTCTTATTTTCATGGGAGAAAAGCTTGTGATATTTGATGAGGCAATGATTTCTTACCTGTAACATCAAAAACACAAACCACAAAAGGAAGAAGTTTGATAAATTAGATTTCATTAATTTAAGTACTCTGGACTTCGGAAGCACTGAAAGGAGAATGAAAAGACAGCCCCTGACAGGGAGAAAATATTTGCAAATCACACATCAACTAAAATATGTTATAAAGAATACATAAAGAAGTTTCAAAACTCAGTTGTAAGAAGATAAAGAACCAAAACCAAAATGAGTAAAAAATCTGAATAGACATTTCACCAAAGAAGATACATAGATGGCAGCATATAAGTCCATGGAAAAATGCTGCACATAGAGAAATGCAGATTAAAAGCACAATTACATATCACCACATACGATTAGAATGTCTAAAATTAAAAAGCCAGATGATACCAATGTTGGCAAGGATGTGGAGCCACGGGAACGCCCCTATTCTGCTGGTGGGAATGTACATGCACACAATCCCTGTGTAAATAATCTGTCAGCTTCTTAAGAAGTTAAAGATAACGCCGACTATATGATCCAGCCGCTCTACTCCTAGAAATGAGCATATATGTCCAGACAAAGATTTATACACAAATGGTCCCAGCAGCTTTATTTGTAATAATCTCAAACCGGAATCAACCGCAATGACTATCAACAGGTGAGTGGATAAACAAACGCTGGTATCTCCATACAGTCGAATACTGCTTAGCAATGAAAAAGAATGCATTACCAATATTTGCAAGAACACGAATGAATCTCAAAATAATTATACTGAGTGAAAGAAGCCAGACCAAAAAAGAATTCATGGCATATACTTATAGTCATATAAAATTCTAGAAAATACACACTAATCTATAGTGAAATGCCGCAGATCAGTGGTTGCCTGGGAATTGGAGTGGGGTTGAGGGGAAGGGCCAGGAAGGAGGGATTAGAAAGGAACACGAGGAATTTATCTGGGTGACAGATATGTTCATTATCTGGATTGTGGTGATGATGCTATATACATAAATCAAAACTGGCCAAATTGTACACTTTCATTATGTGCAGTTTAGTGTGTGTCAATTATACCACAATGTATGTTTTTCAAAAAAGAAAATAGGAGTTGACTTATTTGAATGTCTCAAATGCTGCCACGTGACCTACACAATACTAACTTTTTCTTTTGAGGAAGATTAGCCTTGAGCTAACATCTGCCACCAGTCCTCCTCTTTTTGCTGAGGAAGATTGGCCCATCTTCATCTACTTTATATGTGGGACACCTGCCACAGCATGGCTTGATGAGTGGTGCCAAGTCTGTGCCCAGGATCTGAACCAGTGAACTCTGTGCCACTGAAGTGGAGTGTGCAAACCCAACCACCAGGCCCCTGGGCTGGCCTGATTAATGTTTTTTTTTTAAGGCTGTGTCTCTTTGACTACAATGCAATTATACATTCCTGAAACTGTCGGTGGGTCATATGCATAATCTTATAAAATATACAATCAAAGAGACCTTAAGGATTCTGTAATAACTTTTTTTTAGGTGAAGAAACTAAACTGGATGGTGTAAACTGATGTGCCCCAAATTATACAAGAATGCAGTGTTTCTAAACTATTTCACAAAAATGAAAGTTTTGGTTTCCTGCCACGCATAAAACTAAGTCATGGTGACATTTTAATTAATGATCAAAATGTTGCTTTCTTGTGGTCTCAAACTTGACTGTCTGATAGTAAATTCACTGTTGAAAAATTTAAACAATCATTTTAATTGTTGATGAGTATAGCACAAAATAACCAATTGTTTCATCTGACCATAAATCTCAATCAAAATATTTTGGCATATTCTATAGCCCATATTGGTGGCTTTAAATGGAATGTATTTAATATATTTAGTATTTGCTTCCTTGCAAATTAGAAAAAGGCTTACTTTCCTCAGGATACTTTATTTCCCACTCTCAGAAAACTGTCATAATGTGCTGTTTTGGGTTAGTTTAAGATCAAAAGACTTTAATTTCATCTGCTGGAGGACGGTCATAATAAACATACAGATCTATGACTTTTTCACTGTGGATGGCACCCTACAGAGTTTTGTAACAATGGACATTTCTCACAAAAGAGAATATACCACTAAGTTATTAGAAATATAACTGCTATAATTTCAGTCAAAGCATGTAAGTATTATTAACTCTGAAACTGTAATCTTCCTAGACTGGCCAGCAGAAGCGTATTCTCATACCAATGGATGTAAGCAACCTTTAAACTAATTTTGTTTACATCAAAGCCTTTTGGACATTTGGGAGTTAGAGACAAGACTTTCTCCATCTTTAGGGAGAAATACTTTAAACCTTGTCTTTTATGAGGTGAATGTGTATAAATAAACAAGCTCAACTGTATTTTAGAAAAAAATTTTTGCAGTACTATTCTTTCTAGCTTGAGATGACTAAGGATGAGGTAATGGCGACTCCATAACATGTTTTAGTTAAGCCTGCGCTCAAGAGAATTTGGTTTGCTTCCCAGCTCCACAGTTGGGCCAAGAAAAGTAATTACAGTGATTAATAATAATATTTGATTTTCTAGTCCCTGAGCCCACTCCTCAGAGCCGGTATTATCTGGGGGCAGAGAAACAAATTGCAGGAAGGAAATGAGAAGTATGTCCTACCATTTGGATTCTTAAGCATTACAAAGTCCCCAAGCTGCCATTGCAAACCCTGCCTGTGTCACCCCGTGGAGTTTTACACGGGGTTTTCAGCATCTTGCTTTCCTGGTCACCCTAGGACTGAGGGCAGAACAGAGGTGATGTTTTCACTCTTTAGGGATAAATTTCAATTAAAACCCCCTTCTGGAGCACCTCCTCATGTTTGTAAGTGCCGCGAAGGAATTTGTAAGTGGTGACGGGAGGGCAGATTTAAATGAATAGGGCCTCTGCTTTGAAAACCAAAAAGGAAACAAAACAAAAATAACACATCTTTTGTCCCTAAAAGGGTCTCATGTTCTCGTCTCTGACAGGAGTCTGATGGCCAATGCAAAGAGAGTTCTAAGACTCCCACAATTTCGTGTAAACAAATAAATGAAAATAGAGAGAGACAGGAAAAAAGAAAAAAACCTGCCCAGGGCAGGGCTGGGTTTCAAGACTCCAGTAGCCTTCAGCTCTGCCACTACCAGAGGTTGCTATGGGAACCATTGCGAAAGATTAAACATATCAAGAGTACATGATTGTGAGAAATGAGTAGGAAAGGGAATTATATTAATGGTGAAATGGTGGGCCTTCTATTTGTTGGGTTTTCACGTGTTTTTCTAAATCACACACAAAAACTCCTTCACAAACACAGAACTCATTAACAAAAGTCTTTGCTGTATGCTAAACATAGAGAAAATGAAATATTCCCATTTCACAGTAAAAGTTAAAGGGTTGTCAGTTTTTGTAGTACTTGCTTGTTTTCTGACCCCAGCATCTCTTTTGGTGTAAATTCTGCCGTCTCCTCTTGACTGGTAAAATATCCTTATAGATATGTGTTGGCAAAGGGGTCTGGAGCAGGTCAGTGTGGGGTTCCTTGCTTTTCCTCTCATCCTGCCATACATCCCATACACCATATTTATTTTTTCTCTAGGATCTGGAAAAAAACTTTTTTTAACCCTGTTGCTCTTTGCAATTCTCCTTAGAAAATATTTACCAGGAGAGTCAAAGCTAGAAAGATGAATCCCTTAAGAAAGTTCCTTAAAATAGTGCAAATGCTGTGATTTGAATGAAGTATTCACAAAGTTCAGAATTTTTCAACAAAAGCTTTCTTCTCATTACTGTTATTATCCTGAATTTTTCTCAGCCTATGAGAAGTCGGCTGTGGAATCTCACCTTGCAAGTCAGAAAGCTGGATCTGAAGGTTTCAGTAACTGACTCGTGGAGTCCTGGTCCCCCAGAGACAGAACTGAAACTCTTGCATTGCCAGGTCATTGTTCTGTCCTTAGCCACATCTTCCCCTTGCCTTGTTGGAAAAATGTATTTATTTTAAGAAGTAAGATTAAAATTTGAAAACTCCATTGTTTCTTAGTTTTAAATCAACTGTTCAGATGAGGCAGGTTTCTAGAGAATTATGGGAAAGTATTTCCCTCTTTTGCAATTATTATGGGTCACGTTTCAAAGCAAATGTCTGTAAGGAACATATTGCACTTTTGTGTTTACTCTTGCTTTTCCCACAGCACAGAACTCCACCCTTGATTATTGCTGTCACAGTTGGCTGAAGTAGAGCTGAATGTCCAATAAGATGATGCTCTCCAAAGATTTATTCTACACAACAAACATTCTGTGCTAGAGGGATAGTCCAACAACAAGCAATTTATTTTTAAAACTGTAATATCTACCACATAGAGACGTGTTTAACTTGAGATTTCTAAAATTAAGTAGACTGTGTTCATGCTTTTTAAAATATGGCCTCAAATTATTTCACGTCTATAAATTTCTCACTTTAAAAGTAATTAACCACCAGGAGAAGGCAGAAGAGCCTTGTGGGCAGGAGGGAGCAGTGCAGCCTCCTCTTCCTTGTGCCGCCTGTGGAGGCTGGGTCTCCAGAACAGCTCTGGCCCCTGCGGCGCTGCACGGAGCCCACAGGCTTCCTCCTTAGCCCAGGGCTGCTCTCTGGCTGTTTTAGAAACATGGAAAGGATGGGGAGGGACATCAAAGACTGGGAGGTAGAAGGTTGGAAATGGTCCCCGGCTCGGGAGACAAGGGGTAGTATCTTTGGGGGAATTTGTATGGAAAACACGAGTAAAGATATTTTTGTTGGAAAAAAAATGATCAACAAGTTTTCTTTTGTTAATCAATAAGTCAAACTAAACAACAAGCAATACCCAACCTGACACGGAGTGAAAGGCCACTAGTTGTCATTTACTTCTCAGACAAAAGCATGTTGACCATCTTCCCTTTGAAGCAACTTGAGAATGCAGAATTTCATCTGAGAGAACGTTCTTCATAGTTAGAGACTGCAGGGCTCACCAGTGAAGGGGCATGTAAACAAGGCCTCCATCTTACCTACAGTTTGGGGATGTGGCAGAAAGCAAGATGATGTTGGATAACTAGCATTCCTTCTACCTAATAGTTAAGGATCTTTGAGGGCTGTGACCCGGGACAGCAGTATCCTCCAAGTCAAGAGTCACCACTGTTCTCCCTGTCGTTTCATGAAGCACTTTTTGTCTTTTCAGCACTAGAAACATGCCCACACTTATTTCAAGAGGATGAGAGTTTGGTAATTAAATTAATCCTACCACCACCCTTTGCTGTAGGCTTTGATGAGAGCGTGTTAAATGTGTACACCTTGTTCCTTTTATAGATTTGTTCTGAATGATCTCGCTGTGGAAGAGAATCGAATGCTAAGTCATATTTTAACACATTTAGGACCAGAGGTTTGCATTCAACCTGCTTCTGTTTCCTTTGTGGGTCTTTTCCTCCTGAAGTGCCGTCAATTGCCACTTCGTCTGATTCTTTTCAAATGCAGCTTGGCAGTACTGCTGACCACATCAATTTCATATTCTCTTTTGTCTGACTCAAGGATATCAGACTCTGTTTCATCTTAATGAGGTCTGGTTCTACTCCTATTACCAGGCTATTTTCCTCTGATAAATCACAGTGTCCTGTGGTGTCATTGCACCCGTAATAGCAGGCAGGTGAGAAGCAAAGGATGCTCCCTAACACCGACGCGTCCTTCCCAGCTGAGCTATTGTTCTATGCCAAGCTGCCTGGTCTCTAGGTCTGGAGCAAATTTCTATCCTGTGGATTTCCCTGTGTCGTGACTAGGCTTGCCCCTCACAGATGCGCTGGCTCGTGGTGTGAAACAAGGTCTCCTTACGAGGATACAACATGTGGCTCATTTGGAAGGTTCTCTGCTTCCTGTGAAGGGTCACCTGTGAAAGCCTTCCTCTTTAGTTTTTAAGGAGTGCCAAAGCAGGCCCAAAAGACTGCTTTCCCCCAAAAGGATTGAGTTAAATACATGAAAAATAATGAAAAAAATGTCTTTTCTGCATAAGAGAGCCACAAGTAAATTCAAGGGTGAACATTTATTTATTCATTTATTCACTCATTTGTTCAAGATTAATTGAACTCCAGCTTTGGGAAGGACATTGTTCTAATTGGTGTATGGGATACAGTTGACAGGCCTTGAACACTAGGTGGGATTAGGGCCTCATTTGAGGTGGGATCAGAGAGATATTTCTACCAGAGAAAACAGCGTGAACATCGCCAAAGAGATGGGAAAATGCCGCATTTGTGTGGGATAAGGACGTTTGGGAAGGCAGGTTGAGATCCAAAGATGTCACAACTTATTCTAGTGAGCAAAGGAGAACAAGACGTGTAAAGCCAGAGGTGTGCTTTAGGGATCTAAAACTTAATCTATCCAGACTATTCCAGGCTTTCCCAAAGTATTTTGACTGAAGGAGATTCGGGTTCAATAATTCCAGGTGCATTGGCCCCCTCACCTAGAGCAGAAGCAGAGAGAAGACAGTAAAGACTGGGATTTCAGAAATACCGTTCAGAGGACTGCATTTTTTCTTTTTCCTTAAAGGTTGGCACCTAAACTAACAACTGTTGCCAATCTTTTTTTCTCTTTGTCTTCTCCCCAAAGCCCCCCAGTACATAGTTGTATATTCTAGTTGAGAGTGCCTCTGGTTGTGGCATGTGGGACGCCACCTCAACATGACCTGACGAGCGATGCCATGTCCGCGCCCAGGATCCGAACCTGCAAAACCCTGGGCCGCCAAAGCAGAGTACGCGAACTCAACCACTTGGCCAAGGGACCGGAGGCAAGAGGACTGCATTTTTAAAGAGTGCCCCGAATGATATGTAGGAGGAAGATTGTGGGCCATTGCTTAACCTTTTCCAGACGCTTGTTTTCGAGATAATATCTAGGGAAGATTGCCTGAAGGGTGTGCAGTCCACCCATTTTGCTAGATATACAAAATTCTCTTCCTGGATTAAGCCAGGCGAGGGTATGGCTGACTTTGTGAACTGCGTCGTTTGGCGTCCTCACAGCCTGCCCTCACTGAGCTCTCTTCTAGGGTTGGGCCTTTAGCCTACACTGAGGGATATATAGAACTCTTGAAGTCTTTTGAAAGTCATTATTATATCATGTGGGAAAGCTGTTAATACTGTAGAGGGTTCTCTCTAAACTGACTCGTAAAAATTTTCACACAGGTCTTAGTACCAATACCAGGGCTAACTATACTTCTTTTGAGCACTTGATTGTTTTTCCCTAGTCTTTTAAAAATGGTGTTTCCTTTTCCGGGTGGACTGCTAGAAAATGCAGATTCTAATATATAGCAGACTTCCAGTGAAGTGTACTTACGGCAATTTATTTTCCTTTTCCTCATTTTCTTGGCTTGCTTTTAAAAGTATTCTGTATACTTATGTAAGTCACATCAAATCATTTTAGGAGTAGGAAGTGACATAAATAATACCTAAAATGTAAATTACAGAAAATACTTAATCTTTCAAAATATTTTAGGTTAAAACTTGAACTTTCTCTCTTTTTCCCCCCAAGGGTTGAAGCTCTGAGTCATAATATCATTCATTTACTGGAATCTACAGCACAGAAACCGTATTTGAGAAAATTCTAGACTTGTAGTGGGCCAAATTTGTTCCCAGTTCACATTGTCTTTTGGCATTGTCTTATGTGACCAGTTTCCAGATAGTTATTTAAAGAAAGTTCCCAAACATAAATATGAACCAGGAAAGAAAGGATTTGGCAACTTCAGAACTCAGGAATTCCAAACAAAAATAAGGATAGAACAGTAAGTTCTTAAACTTTCTGATGCAGAATTTCTGATATCAAGAGCTATAAAATAATCCAAATCTGAAAAAAGATATTTCTCTTTTCTCATACACACAAAGAGAGAGACACACACTACATACAGGAGAATAGCTCTACACTATAATGTTTAAACTAACTTTCCTCTTCCAGGCAAATTTGGTTAAAACTTTGCATACAGAATTTCTCCTGGAAAATACATGCATTAATCCCGGAGTCAGATACATCTGTAAATAGTTGAAAATCAAACGGTTCATGCCACTTACCCTGCCAAAGTGACACCCCATTTAAATTTTTCGTAAATGTTTTCCAGATTTGCAAATCCTCTTTGATGTTTTAAATGTAATGAACAAGTGATGAAATGCTTTTACAGTGGGAGTGAGGGTTTTTAGCCAATAGATAAAGTGGCTGTCTCACTCAGATCACTTGGGGACACTTTGTAGGTGGCCAAACAGAACACACCTGTCTGTGAGTCGTTGCCTTTTACATTTGGAAGTGTTGCGTCCAACCCTGCAATCTCCCTTTGAGAGAGCCTGATCCCATCACCACCAAACCAAGTTCAACACTGAACAAAGCCAGCGTGTTGAACAGCCTCAGTTCTCTTTCTAGAGCGAATGTGATTCTCAGTTCTCTTGACAGGCGGTCAGAAGTCTCCAAGGACCTTTAATAGGCCAAGATATAACCCACTGCTGGTGAAGAAGGGCAGAAAAAAATCATGGTATAATATTCTGGGATATCTTGAGTTGTGTTTTAATGACTGACAACGTGAAGACGTGGAAAAGCAGAATGATAAGAATAATTTCCATTAATTCAGAGAAGTGTTCAAAAAGCTGTGTATACACTTGAACCAAACTTTTCCCAATATGGCCCTCCCGACAGAGATGATTCTGTTGCAAAGAGCCAACACTCAGCAGTGAGTCCTCTCCTCTGGTTCCTGGGGAAACCAATGGACAGACAAACAGACAAATACTTCTCACCTACAGGCAAGTCAACTCCTCTTCTACTAAGAGGACTCATAGAAAATGCCATTAACTTGCCTGTTAAAGGAATACGGAGACTGAGTTTCCCGTAATATTCCTCTCTTGAGTATTAACCAAGCTCTCTTGCAGAAATGAGTCTAGCTACAGTACCAGCAGCATGGGCACCACCTGGGAGTTTGTTAGCTGTGCAAATTGATTGGTCCCACCCTGGATCTACTATCTCAGAATCTCTGGGGCTTGAGACCCTCCTCCATCCCCACTATCCCATGTGTGTGTGATAACAGATGATTCTGAAGCATGTTGAGCACTGACTAGATGCCATGTTTTGCTCCCTGGGTTCTTTATGCTTTTGGTGTTGGCTCTGCCAGTGCTTTGCTCTCAGCTGTCCTCGATGTGGAAGCCTCATTCACAGACTGTCCCTGGTGATGCTAGTCAGCTGTTTCCTCCCAGCTGGCCTATTCTCTCCCACCCCACCAACAATGTGATGCATCCTCCATTGTTTCTTCCTGACATCAGGGCCACTTTATACTTCCTTTCTTTCTGCTAAGGAGAGAGAAGAACCCTGGACTATTCCTGGAAGCAGCGAGTAAAATCTCCCTTCAAAAAAAGCCTGTTTTCTTTTCATTTCCCAACTGCCAATACTATGCACTTCAATAACTTTTCCTCACTTATTTTGTTCTTAGTCACAAAACCTGAATAACTCACCTCCTCAGAGGTGGACATGGGGCCATTATCCAGTTTTACAACTGCACGAAAAATTAAATAGTTTTCAACACTCAGCATGATTGTGCTGGTAACTCTTTTGACAGAGATGAGCATCATTCTTCCCTGGTAGTCCAAGGTTCTCCCCACGGGAGGCCTAGTGAGGGAGAGCTGCTTCCATTCTGAGATGCAAACACCTGGCCTGTCTTTCACCTCTCCTCGCTATGGTGGAACTAGTTGTCCTGTTCCTGCCAAAATTCCTGGGCATTAGTATATGTATGCGTGTGCCTGCAGGTATAAATGTTGGGTAACGAAATGGAGAAAGAAACAGAAACACCAATAGGATCGTCAGTAAGGCTCCCTGAGGCACATGGTGAGGCTAGCCGCCGAGTCTTCAAAAGCAAACGTGGGGCATTGGGTAGGCTGTGGCTGAACATTTGGAAGTGAAGGTTGTTTCCTGGCCCTTTCATTAGGACGTCAGATTCGTCACGGTTATGTAGAATGCTTCCAAACATTTTTTTTGAGGATCTTAAAGAATTTACTCCCCAAAAGAAAGTTTGGAGGAAGGGCAAAGGGTTAACTGCATTCCGCCTTTTGAATATACAAATTAAAGAATTTATTTCCAAGAGCTGGCTTTAATTATTAGTCATATGGAGGATTTGGGATCCTAACTCAGGAATCAGGATATTACGTTGTCTTTCTATCAGACCGTTTTGAATCTTAACAGCCTGATCCAATTAATTGTTTCTTCCCCCTTCTTGTTGCCTTTTGTGAGCCATTAGCCTGCATCTTTTGAACTCCTCTTCCTGCTCACTACTCAACCTTCATAGTCGCACACAGACAATTTTTCTGCCCCTCCCCTTTCTCTTGAACTCTTTTGGTTTATCCAAACCCTTGAAGAAACACATGAATTGCGTAAGAATGTTACCTGTGTGCTGTGTTTCCCAGAAAAAAATGTGTCATTCATTGCAACCCCAGTGTTAACTTTCTCTGGCCATGATTAGCTCATCCTCCAAGTGCAATTAAAACTGTCATCTTGGTGGAGTCACAGAGCAGCTCCGTAGCCCATCCTACCTACCTTTCCTTGCAAGCTTTGAAGACTGCTCAGCCCTGTTTATCTTTTTCAGTACAGCATTCTCATCCAGGCTGGAAGACAAGAAAGTGCTTGTGGGTAACTCCCAACCAATCGACTTTGTCCTGATGCCTCTCCCTGAGAGCCGCAGAGGGATCTTAAATTGGGTACCACAGATGATAAGCTACCTATATTCACGAGGACAACCTGATAAAGAGAAAGGCCCATTGTTTTAGGGTTATTGTCTTAGTCTGTTTGAGCTGTTATTACAAAATACCATAGACCAGGTAGCTTATAAACAACAGAAAGTTGTTTCTCACAGTTCTCGAGGCTGGAAGTCCAAGATCAAGGGGCTGACAGACTTGGTGTCTGGTGAGAGCCTGCTTCCTGGTGCACAGACTTTGTCTTTTCTTGGTGTCCTCACATGATAGAAGGCGGGTAAGGGAGTCTTAGGCAAGGGAGAAATTAGAGCCCTTTATAAGGGCACTAATCCCATTCATGAGGACTTCACTCTCTTGCCCTAATCTACCTTCTAGAGGCCCCACCTCCTAACACTATGACATTGGGGGGTAGGTTTTAACATATGAATTTTGGAGGAACGCAAATATTTCTATAGCAGTTGTGTGTTAATATGTGAATTTTAGAGAATTAATGGATGTTCTAAATGTTACTCTTTCAGTAAAAACATGTTTAAATATTTGGGATAACAATAAACAAAACTAAGGAGAAGACAAAGGAAGGAAAAATCTTGTACCTAACCCCTAGAAGCTTCTTGATGGTGAAATGGAGGAGGTCCAAGCCATGCACTTAACCAATTTTGTGCCAGAATTGACCTTCATGGTCCTTCTGCCTCTCCTTTCCGCATCTCTAACGCCATTGACATTCCACTCAAGTATGGCATCCTGTGCCCCTCAGCACCCCCGGCACACACACTGTTCACATGCTTTAGATAGTTAGTCATCAGTGGCTAGGGCCCCAGGGACTATATGTCATTCTCCTCTCTCAGATCTTTGCATTCTAACAGAGGAGAGCTCCGTGTGGAAGCTTCACGAAGGTAATAGGTCCCACTAAGGGTGTGTTGAGTGATTGCTACAATTATGCGTGATTGCTCTTCAGGTCTCATGATAGGCCACCAGGAGAGTTAGTGCGATGTTGGACTGGAGGTGGGGCAGAACAAGGATCTTTGGGATGTATTTTAGCTCATGCTTCAAATGGAGACTTTGATTCTGTGTATCTTTGAGTAACGAGCTGCCCTCTGGGTAGGCCATGCTGGGGAAGGGGAGTTCGCTTTGGGAATCTGATGAAGGCTGGAGTGTGTGTAGCAGGAAAGAGGAAGAGGAGTCCTACAGAATTCACGCTTTGCTTCCCCCTTTATGCCCTTCTGTATTTTGCCATTCTAGTAAGGGTCAGGTTGGAAATAAATCCAGACTGGGTTTGGGGTGAGCGCTCTCACAGATGAAACTATGTTTCTTTCATAAAATTCAGCCACCAAGCTGGCCATTCTCAAAATCTCATTGGCTTGCAATTCACAACTCTATTCTGCCATGTCACCTTCACAGCTTCACCAGCCCACACTGGCAAGGCTGCAGGCAAGCTGCAGAAAGGCCCACTGAAAGAAATGTGTCAAGAGAGTCCAGGGTTGGGAAAAGCCACTGTTTCCGCTGCTGACCAGAAAGAGAGCACCCAGCAGAGCTTTAAGAGGCAAGACAAGGTCCCCCAGCTGCTGGAGGCCCAGGAGGGTCTCTAGGAATAGCTGTCACAAGACCTTTCTTTATATTGAACGTTACTCTCTGGGCTTCACAGCCCTGTATCTGACTGGCCTTATACTTTGAGCAAGATATACTGAATTTTAACACTGCAGGCTTTCCATGTGTTTTTGTTAGACACTAAAGGAACAGTATAAAGATTAAAATATTTATGTGAATTTTAGAGTATTGTGTGAGGATTATTATAATTACCAAGTACCTTTTAACATAGATCTCCAAAGACTAAAACTGTTTAAAAGATAAGCTGCTTTTTTTGTTTTCTAGCTCATTTCAGTTCAGTCCTTATTGTATCTAGGACGTCTTTGTTGTCTTTTTTCTTTGGTATATAATGAAAAATGTTGTCTCTTGTCCTTTTATGTGTAGGAGGACAAATTGTCTTTCAGAATTACAGTTTGAATTTTTTATTGTGGGCGATTTTTTATAGAAACGATTAAATTGCTGTCACATGAACTTAACATCTGAAAGGAATGCTCAGCCATGGTTTGAATAGTGGTTCAGAGCAGTGCTGTGCCGTAGAAATTTCTGTGAAGATGCAAATGCTCTTTCTTGTTTAATATGGTGGTCACTAACTGCATGTGGCTACTGAACCCTTGAAATATGGCTAAAGTGATTCAGACTCTGAGTTTTTAACTTCATTTAATTTTAATTAATTTAAATTTAAAGAGCCACTGTGGCTATTGGCTGCCATATTGGATAGTAGCACAGGTTCAGAGTTTGACCAATGGCATGTGGTCCCATGATATCAGAGGTATCAGGAAGGGCTCTCTCTCTCCAAAATCCTAACCTCTCTCCAAAATGTGAGCTCACCCACCTGCTCACATGCTTGAAATAGCTTTAGCAGAGACAAAACTATTATGGCCTGAACATTTGTGTCCCATTCAAAGTCATATGTTGAAATCCTAACCCCCAATGTGAGGGTATTAGGAGGTGGGGCCTTTGGGAGGTGATTAGGCCATGAGGGTGGAGCCCTCATGAATGAGATTAGTATCCTTATAAGAAGAGACTTGAGAGCAGTTACTTCCCCTTTCTGCTTCCTGCCATGTGAGGATACACAGGAAGACAACTGTCTGCAAACCTGAAAGAGAGTCCTCACCGGAACCCCCCCATGCTGGCACCTTGATCTTGGACTTCCAGCCTCCAGAACTGTGAGCAATAGATGTTTGTTGTTGAAGTAACTCAGTCTTTGGTAATTTGTATAGCCGCCCAAGCTGACTAAGACGAAAGCCTTAAGAGCAGGTATGACTAGGACTTGAGTTCTTGTTAAGCTTGGGAGGGTTGGTGGCTGTTACGTGGAGGAGAACCCAACTTTCCAACAGTCACGCAAGAAAATCAGCCTCCTCACTTTGGAGTGACTCTCTCTCGGTAAAGATGCGTTGCTATATTCTGATCATAAGAGAAATACGTGGCAGTTTTTGTTGAATGGCTGACATCAGACCCTTCCCTGACAGTGGAGAGGGAGGTATGAGGTAGATGACAATGTTTCTGAAATGGCCAGTGAGGGGGAACAGAAAGCAGCATCATGAAGGAGAGAAAAGAGTGGGGCCAAGACAAACTAAATAATTCATGCTTTTGCTTGTTGCTTTCCCTGGGCTGAGAAGAGGATGCAGCAGCAGGATTGCAAATAGCCCAAGGGGGCCCGGAGTGCAGCTTCCTGAGCTGAGACATCCCCAACAGCAGCAACAAGTGGGAAGTTTCTCCCTTGACATGTTCTCTTGAGGGCAGGAGTTGTGTTTCATTTATTGTCGAATCCCTCACAGGACTAGCTCTCCATGACTATTTGAGGACTAAATGGAAGGGTATCTGAGCTGTGCTTTCCAACCTTTGCTAACTCCATTTATGAAACTGGAACAGATATCTCTCTGGTCCCATTTGCCCATGGGGAAATCATTTGGTAGGCCCAGAAGGCAGAATCCTTCGTCCCCCATCTCCTTCCTCCTTGGAGGGTTTGTGGCAATCAGGAAAGGACAGTGGTTGAGAGGGATTTTAAATGCCTTAGCTGCCAACTTGTTTGAGAACCACACAAAAGAATGCTAAAGTTGAAAGATGCCCAGGCTTTTACAAATGATTTATGAATTCCATTAACTCAAACTCATCTTACCTCATCCTTGGCAGCCGACTTGAGAAAAGGTGAGGAGTAGCTCAGAAACTTCTGGACTCTGTTGACAGAGTTGGAATGCCCTTTTTCTTGTTTGTGTATGTATGTATTTATAGTGAAAGGCTAAATTTTGCATATGGTGGTTTCTCTCTGTAGCTTCCATCTCTGCTTACCCCTCTCACTCCCTCCTTTCTACCTCCAACCTCCACCATTACTCTTGTGGCAAAATTATTTTCTTTGAAAGTGAAAGGCCATGATTCTTCAAATTAGTAATCCTGCTTAGCTCTGCAGCCAAGGGAACTTTAGTGAAAATCATTTCAGATGATATATTCACTATGGAGGTTTAGAAAGAACTAACCATTCATGAAAAGAGGACTCAGATTTAAGAGTTGACATCTTAATAATACTCTTTATTGGTAGAGTACAGAAAGTTTTATTGAGGAAGCTAAAAAATCTGAAACATGAATACCATAATGTTTTCCATGTATACTGGAGTAATGAAATAGTTCTAAAACCATTCTCAGATCTTTCAAGTAAGGATGCCGTATAAATACAAATTGTTAGTATTATTACAGTTCCTCATTTCTTTTCTGCCTCTGGCAGTTTCTTGGACAAGTACAAACACTTAGCTTCCACTAGCACCCAACATCTTAAGAAATGAGAGATAAAAAGCCAAGGGCTTGGAGCAATAACCATTGTCTCTGACTTAGCTGGTATAATGTGCTGCTAGTTTCAGGAGGAAAAAAAAAACCCTAAATAAAAAACCCATCACAACAGTTGATGGACTGAGGTATTGTTCTCAATGAGAGATTCAAACCATTGGCCATCCCGTGTAATGAGCTACTTCTGGCAGCAGGGTGCCTGTATTCTCGGATTCAGAAATTCCACTACTTTAGAAGAATGCCACAGGTTCATTTTGCTTACTTAATTTATTGAGCAGGGCAGCACTCTCGCTACTTTAAAAAAATATTCTTGGATTTTGTGGCTGGTTGCTATAGTCCATTAATGCAAGTTACGCTCTATGATATAATTACATCATGTTATGCCTATTATATTAAGTAAATTCTAGATGGCAGGGATGGTTTCAATTTAACTAAGATTTTTAGAGCACCTGCTTCCTGAGGTCTTTTATACTTTTCAACGTTTATTTGTATCCGAATTTCATTGAGTTCAACTTTTGCTATAAATGGGCTAATGAACATATATTCATATTTTTCTCCCTTTCTCTGCTCTTATTCAGTGAATTAATTGATATTTCTTGGGCTCCTACCTTATGCAGACTCCTCCCCCCCCCACCCCCCCAACCTCATCACCATTTCTGGCTCTTAGCTCTTTCCTCTCCTGCAGTCTTCTGTCTTCAAGGCTAGATTGGATGCCTGGTTGTTTCCTCAAATAAAACATATCTGAGACAAGTGCCCTATGTCCATCCTTGGTGATAGAGCCGTCCTTGGTGATAGAACCGTCCTTGGTGACAGAACCTTGGTGAGGTTCACTTGGGCTCGGAACCTCAGAGTGACCTTGTAATTCCCTCCTGCCACACCCCTCCAGTCTAACTCATATCCAAGTCTCTGACCCATCCTTGCTTCTGTTTCTCCCATCTGTCCCCAACTTCCAGCCCCACTGTCACCCATGACTCAGAGCTGCACTTCATCTGAGGATTACTGCACCAGCCTCTTAGCTGCTGTCTGCTTTGCATCCTGCCTAGCTCTAATCCAATCCAGTTGCGTGGTCAGATTCATCTTTCTAAGAATATCGCTCTGATTATGACAATCTCCTGCTCAGAAACCTTATCAAGGGCTCCCCTTTGTCTACAGAAGAGTCTACATATCTTGGCATAGAAGTCAGATCCACCAAGTAGGACCCCGAAGCTGCTTTTCCAGCTTCTCTCCCCCCCTCCTCCTTTTGCCAGCTCCCATTCTCACCCCACTGCCCCACGTCTTCTCCACTCCACCCCGCCCCCCGTGACAAGTACACATTCTGCCTCTTCTTTGAAATCTTGCCCAAGTGCTGCCTTCTTCATACAGCTCTTCCCAACCTTCCAGTCTGAAGTGATCTTTTTTCTACTGTGTTTCTATAACACATACTATTGAATACGTTGAATTTATTAGAATTGAAACATTCTTATTTGGTGGAGCCCTAATGACACTGTATTATTTCTCAAGTCAGCACTCCCTAGCTTTGTCTAAAACCCAAACTCACTTGGCACTTACCTCCAAGGTCCACTGGCAGCGAATTTTGAAGGATATGTGTCATTCCTTGGTTCCCGCACTGTGCCACAGAGATGATTCTCACTTTGTCGTAATTAACCACTGCCTTATGGCAGTGCACTCTCACTTTCTTTAAAAAGTAGTTACAAGGTGACTGTTCTCTGGCACACTGCCAGAGCAGCCTCGGCCATGTGCAGAGCAGACTGTGGGTCTGGGAGATCAGAGGTAGCCAAAGGAGATGGACTCAGGAGGAAGTCGTGCTGGCAAGACTTTCAGCAGAAGTTCAAAGGAAGAACTAGGCAAGGACAATGCAAGGCAGGTGCCGCAGAAAAGGTTTCTTCTAGGCGGATGAGGTTTGTTGCCAGGTTGACTGAAACAAGTTCCTCCCTTAATGGGATGACTCAGATCTTCCCCTTTTAGCTCCATCTAGGGGCTTAGAAACTGTGTCTAGAAAGACTCTCAGCTCTTTAGAGAGGAATATATTTGATGTGTGCGTGTTTTCATCTAGCCGTTAACGTGAGTAAAAAGGTAAAATATATCTCGAAGTTACTATGACTCCAGTGCGCTGAACGATGCCCTAGTAATCGGGAGAAGTGATTGCCTTCTGCAAGTGATCCATGAGAAAAATCATCCCGAGTGCCTGGGCCCACCCACTAATTTGTACATATGGAGGGATAGGAAAAAACACTAGCAATATGCATTTAATCTCACCAACAATAGGTACAAATACAATGGTTAAGGTATTCTTTTGTTTATTAATAGTAACTTGAACTAAGTTAATTTACCAAAGAAAGCCACAGATGCTCTTCTTCAGAAAGGACCACCATGCATTGCTTATGAATTGTTTGTTCCAATAAACCTATTCCTTCAATTTCTACCAGCTTTCCTCAAATTACAGACTTTAGTGACTTCTACAGATATTAGGATTGTGTTTTTCAGCTGTTTGCCAAGTTGAAACATTCTTTTCCTTGGCCTCTTAGCGTCCCGTGTGCAACTAATTTCGCTGCAGAAATTTCTTGCCACTCTTATATATTTTGACTCTAAAGAACGCTTTTTTAAAAATGGAAGATTTTTGGTGAGGAAACCATGTACTTAATTGTCTACTTTTACGAGTGTAATAGGGCTAAGTTCTCTTTAAAAAACAAAAAAGGAGTAAGCATTTGGGCTTTTCAAACCTCATCAACTACATCTGATCCCAGATATTATCTAGGCTTATCTTGAATAGGAAAATGCCAAAGGCTCAAGTGCTGTAAGACTCAGAGAACATTTTCACTCATCGGGAGGCTGATTAAGCTTATTATTTGCTGTCCAAAAAGCTTCAGGTGCTTATTGACCTGGACTAAACCTGAAAACAGTGGAGGGAGAGAAGGAATGTGCTCGTAATTGAAAGCCCCAAGGAAACCGGGTCAACAAAGTAGAGATGGACACTTTTTAGTGCAAGTTGAGCAGCTGAGTTTTTCTGCCAAGAGTCTGAGGCCTGGGAAGGCTCATTTCCCATCATCTCTTGAGACCAGCGATACCCAACACCACATTTACAGAAGCCCAGCCATGTTTTCACACCTGGTTAAGTGTCCATATTTCTTCGCATCCAAACAAGAAGTGAGTTTTATACATATCTTTTCACTCAAATATTTGAACTCTCAGGAGAACCATCCAGCAGTCTGGTTCTAGAGTGGCTCAGCTTCGAAGCTCAGGTTTATTCAGCACCCACAAAGGATCCTGGTGCTTGCCAAGAAAAACAGCACAGCAGCTGCATCTTTGCTGGTGTGGTGTGAGCTCTAAAATATTATTTTACAATCACCACTTACGGAAAGATATAGAACCTTCAGTCATATTGGCATTTTTAATGAGGGATAGTTAGTTAAGTACCTCCCCTCAAATTGATACTTTTTTGGTTCCATTGGCTATAGTTTCCCCCAATCTATCAAACCTCTCAAAATTTCTTTTACATAAATCACTTCAATGTCCCTACAGAAATGACAAAGATCCTGTATTTACCAGGAAAAAAATGTGGATGAAAGAATTATTTGAAAGTCACTTCTATGATAAACTACTGATATTTTTATTACTTTATTCACAATTGGGTATTGATGGTGGAGATTATAATTAACTCAGTGTTGTGATTGGACAAGAGAAGCTGTTTTATTAAAAAAAAAAATAGGTCGTATCCTGAATGGTCTGAACCTGGGATAATGTCCCATAGTTCCGTCTTGTTCACCCCTGTTTTGGGGAGGTAAAGTTGGGGAAGGCAACAGGATGTGGGGGACATTTAAAGAACATGCATGTCTTCACTCTTTCTATGACGTATTGATAAATCAAGACGTATTTGCTTTGCTTTGTTCCAAAGGGCAAGTTTTCTTATATCTTCTGTGAATTCAGTATTTTTCAACTGAAGAGAAGGTAGGGGATCACATGTGGAATTTTAGCAGCCAAGATAAACAATCTTCTTTTAGACCAAAATATTCTGTGGCACCGGCAAGCCTTCTCAACGTACTGGGAGGTTTGCTAAGGGACGATGGGAATGGAGAGTTGAATCAATCAGGGATTTCTAACTTGAGATTTTGCCAGTGTTTCTTTTGTATTAAACAATTACAATTCAGGGGTTTTCAGCCAACAACAGTATCTTCTCCTGAATTATTCCATTATTTAACCTTACTCACATACGGCATGATTCACTGTATATTTTTCCTAGCTTGGTCTTATAGTATTGTTTCTTGGGAGAGACGAAGTTACCAAACAGTTATCCTTGTGCACGTGTCACCTCAAGGCTAGTCACTTTTGCTGCCGTGGGGGTGTTGTCCCTTTGTTATCTCCTTACATTTTTCTCTGCCCTTTCCCTCTAGAGCTGAAAGCTCTGCATAAAACCAGAGGTTTCAGGGCATGGCAGTCGTTTTTAGGGCTTCGTCTCTCTAGTCTATATGTAAATAAGTAACCTGGAGACTCCCAAAGTCAAGGGAGACATTCAGAAGAGTAGTGATCTCCTTAGCAAACTGAATTCCAATTGTCTCCGCAGGATGATTATGCAGTACTTAGGAGAAAAGATGGAAAGAAACAGGAATGGAAATTGAAGATTTCTTCAGAAACTTGAGTCCATGTATTCAAAGGTCTATGGGGGAGTTGCCAATAGTTCACATTCCAGGCAAAGAAAGGATTTTGGTTTGTGCCATTGAACCACTCCAAGTTAAGAAGAGGAGAGGTCATCCTTTCTTCTCTCCATTTGAACAACCCAAGACAGATGTGAGGTCTCTGCTGATCTCCATTCAGCTCTGCTGCCACGCTTTGCCTGCAGCACTCTGGGCTCCCGTCCCTCTGGTTTTGATGTACCAATGTTTCCTTCACTGCTTGTTTGTGTCATGGTTGGAAACGTCCTGAGAAGCAATTGTTTGTTCTTATTTCCTTTATAATTTCACCCCCACACAGAGGCTTTTCTCTGAGGAGCTCAGGACCACATGCCACAATTAAAGGACTTAATTTGAAGTTCAATTGTGCCTTGCTGGGTCAGTGATCTGTAAGCCGAATTATTGAGACCTGCTGATGACCTGACAAGGAGAAAGCCAATCAGGGCAATTGGAAACAGTAAGAAGCGAAGGAAATGTGGAAATACTAAGATGGATTTGTGAGAGGAGGACTTGCTCCCAGAGGGTCACTGCAAGGTCAAAATGCAGTCAGGGGCCTATTAAAAAGTTACTGGAGGAAAGGATCCCAGAAAGTTTTGGGAAAGCCACTAAGGAAGCTCAATTTAGATGAGAGGGAGGAGAAAGAATTTTCCACTGCTGCACTATTCAGAGCCAGGCTGAGACACACAGAACGTCTGGGCTCTGACTTTTCACCAATAACACTTCCTTATTTTAACTTCTTTATATTCATAGTGACCAGAGGGCATGAGCAATGGTTATTGTAATCGTAATATTAGCTAATAATGTTGTTTTTATTAATAATAATATGATAGGAAAATATTTAACATTATCAAATGCCATGGTGAACTGAACACATGTGGTTGCTCGTATTCATTCCCAAGTGCTTCAAAGCTATCAGCAAATAACTTTAAAGGTTTAAGACCAATGGACAAAGAGACAGAGAGGAGGCAGAGGGGACTAGAAGCATCAATGAAGTTTCAGAAGATGGAAAGAGGAGAGGAATTGGAAAGAGATTTGTCTGAAATCTATGTGCCTTCAGAGAGAAACAACACCACGGAGTCCTTTTATTATTTTTCATAGAATCTGGGACAGGCTCAAGA